TCCCTACACACAAGCTGCACATATGTTGGTTCATTTAGGAGTAGACTTGTTCAGAATTGACAGGATCATCACCGCTTTCGGCCTCCCGATAGGCCCTTTCCAGTAAGTCTCTCCCTTTTGCTTTATTATACCCCGTTTGTGTTTGCATATTTGTATGCTCTTTGTGATGATTTCTCCATCTGAATGGACTTTCTGACATGACTTACTTCTCATAGGCTCGCGGACTTAGCTGGATATGGGGTTGGAATTGCAGTCGGGTCAATATATGCGAAGGCCTATGGTGACCGTATTTTCAAGTCCCCATTGACTGAGCTGCTGATTAAGAATGGACGAAATGGTAAATCTTTGTCCTTGCTTTATAGTTCTGCGATTTGCATGTGCTAATATACGTATTATCAGGTAAAAACAACGGCAAAGGGTTCTATATTTATGAAAAGGGAAGCAAACCAAGACCTGATCCATCAGTGCGTCCTGTAATTGAGGAATCTAGAAAGCTTGTCAATATCATGCCTGGTGGGAAGGTAATCAAAAGCTTCTTAGGAGGATAGAGCGTAAGTTCTTGCGGTGCCCTTGAACTCACATTGCAGTATTCTTCTTTGGCAGTCTATAACAGTTTCTGACAAGGAAATTCTGGAGATGATAATGTTTCCTGTTGTGAACGAGGCCTGTCGTGTCCTTGATGAAGGAGTTGTGATCCGAGCCTCGGACCTGGACATTGCATCTGTCCTTGGGATGAGTTTTCCGTCTTACCGGTGAGGACTCTAAATTATAATCCCCATCGACACTTTCTGAGAATTATCTTTCACCATTCCATTGACTCTTTATGCCTCTGCCTTTTCTTTCAGTTTTTCCTCTGTAATCCCTCTGGCTCGGTTACTTTTTTTTTTTTTTTGCGACTTGGAAAATTTGATGGATCAATCCTCGTGGTGGTTAAAACTGCATTTTTTTTTCATGGGCTGCAGAGGGGGAATTGTGTTTTGGGCTGATACAGTTGGGGCGAAGTACATATACGAAAGGCTGAAGAAGTTATCGGAGACATATGGCGGAGGCTTTTTCAAGCCGTCGAGGTTTCTGGAGGAAAGGGCCATGAAAGGCATGCTTTTGGTAAGTCTTTTGTTACAAACACTTGCACTTAAGATGAGCAACAAATAGGAAGAAGAAGATCATTGATCCAATCCAGATAAGAGAATGGTTCGGTTGTGTGTGTGTGACAACCGTATCATATATTGCGGTTGTTGCCATCTAATCATCATTACGGTCTATATGTTGTGGTCGGGACATTCATTGCATTTTTTTTTATAAAAAAAAAACTGCAGAGCGAAGCAGCTTCACCATCTTCTCCGGGATCAAGGGCTCGCTTGTAAAAGATATAAGAAGTCGAGGGACAAAATACAGGGTTGATGCCATTAATAAAACAGGCAGCAGATGGAGGGAGGTAAACGCGTTTGCTTCTCTCTCTCGCCTTACAAAATCAATAAATGATAATCAGAAGCAGCAGCAGAAGAAATTAGAGAGGTGGTAAGTTTCATTTCATTTGATTGTTAGTTGGAACATCGTAACTGTGTCACGATCAAACATAATGCCTCTTCTGTCCCTAATGGTACGGCTTGCTTTTATTTAATGATTTTGACTCCTTATAGACTAAGCTCTGTGGCTTTTTAAGAGGGGGGGGGGGCGGGCACGCTTTACTGAATGCATGATCATCCCTCCATGGTAAAAAAAAGAAAAAGAAAAGGTAAACCACAATTCCTAAAACCAATGCCCATATATATGCATGTACACACGCAGGCTCACTGGCCATCACTTAGCCCATAATTAGACATCCGACAGCCCACTTTTACCGGTAAAAATATAGGCTTTCTGATTTTTTGTATATTGAATCAATTCAACATTGTTTTGATAGACTTTTTTTTTACAGTTTTTTAATATTTTGTTTGATTTAGTTAAATTAAAATCAATTATTTTTCCAAAACGTTTTGTATTTAACTCAGTAAAACTTTTGACCCAAAAAGGTTTTGTTTGCTTTAATGAGATTAGACGCACGGCACCCATATGGCCCGATAAGAGAATTAAGCCCAATAGTTTGTCCCCCCAATAATAATGACCCAATAAGAAAATTTGAAAGCTCAAAAGCCCATATTTCATGCTTCCATTATAATTTTTTTTTTATGTAATGTTGATAGCGAAATTTCAGGGTATTTTATTAAGATTCCCCGAAAATTTAATTAAAATTATAGAAATAATACACGTTACAAAAAATTGGAATTATTTTCTTATTCGAGAAGTCTGTTTTATTTTTTGTACGGGTTTAGATTTTGATTTGAAAAGATTTTTTTTCAAATGCCTGGGGAGAACGATTAAAATCGGAATATTTTTTTAATAAAAAAAATGATAAATTTACTGAATTCCACATTTTTCGGGGATTTGTTTTCATAAAATACACTGGCAAAGAGTGGAGGGAGGTGACGATTTACCCACGCGCAACTTTTCCAAATTTAATGAAAAAGGATGATTCCCGTGGGTTATAACCCCCCAGAATTGAGGCGGTGACGTCCACGCGTAGCTATGGCGCGTCGCATGTAGCTTATTAGCTGGTGCTGATATGACTAACCTAAAAGGCATTTATTTTGAAGATCCTCGGCCCAATATCATATTTATTAAGAGCCCAAACTGCCAATATTTACGGTTCCTCCGTTTTATTTTTTTATTTTTTTATTTTTTTTATGCTTCCTCCTTTTCTTCTCAAAACGCATGGAAACGTTCAGTTTTTACCATTGGAAAGAAAGAAAGAATAATCAAAACAAGAACTTTGTAAAATAGAACGTCAGTTATTCATAGAAAAACTAAAGAGCCAATGGCAAATTTACACACAGATAACATTATACTCATCTCTCGTAAAGAAGAAGGCGAATAACTCAGGGAAAAAGAAAGAAAGAAAGAAAGCCTAATAATACAGAATGTGTAAGGAGTTTTGAATTAACTCCTAACTAATCACCAGCCAATCCGCCGAGAAAGATTAGATCGAAATAAGACAGGGTTGAGAAGAATGTGGTGGAAATGGCATACCTCCCTCATATTGAGCTTCTTTTGTCGTTATTTTGTCCTAAAGTAGTTATTTCAGAGGCCTTTCTTCTCTGACAAAAGCTGGAGGTTTGTGTGTGTCTGGTACTGATGTCGATGGTCTTTTCGCTGTGCTTTGGGAAACTCCATTCACTACTGGCTCTTGATGAAACCCAATCTCTGTTTCCACAGCTGCAGGCGAGTCTATATGAGTTCTTGCCAGTGATGAACAGTTTGATTCTGCAAAACAAACCAAAGCTTAGCTTTAGATTGGAATGTACTATTTCGGGTCAGATTCAGTAATTGGTTTTCGTAGAGAAAGAGATATGTACCCTTTAATTCTCCGTAGGAGATCAGCCGATTAAGGCAGTCCCGGAACTTGGTCAATACTATTCTCTCCTGCTCTCCGTATATCTCAGACTGGCCTTGCCCGTTAGCTAGTAGCTCTGAGGTTGTCCCACAACTGGGATCCACTGAACCTTTCGGTGAGGCTGCTACCATGAACATGGTGTCCTGCTCGTCACACATCAATGCCAAAGTTGCAGGAGACAGAGGCCTTCCTTTAGATGCATCTGTGCCATCTGAATTGGAATCCTCTGCTCTGGATTTGTCAGCTTGATTTCCACTTGAACAACCACCAGTTTCAACTTTCTCAGCCTTGATACTTTTATTTCCTTTTCCTCGTTCTTGTGTGGAAGAAGCTAGGGAAGTTTCTGTCCGATCTTCCATCCGTTTTTCTGTTTCATTTCTCTGGTCTGAGAAAACAAAATGTTGGAGGAAGATCAAAAAAAAGATTATACATAGAGATTCTTGGAATCAGAAAACAAAACCTTGAGAATTGTAAGAACAAGCTCTCTATGCTATGCTAAACCTCTCAATATATGAGACATTTATCAAAGTTCACCTGCTAATGTTTTCGCCGCTTCTCCAGATACCGCAACCAAAACAGAACAGAGTGCTTTCACGTCCTGTGGTTGAATGATGTCTGCCAAGAGAGACCTTCAAAAACCAACCAATAGATTAGTTTCTGTAACTCCTTGGTAAGATCCAAATTTGTAACCACTAGAAAATTCACCTATATATGAATTTGGATGGGCCTAATGACACATTGCCAGAAGCACGAGAAACAGGCACAGTAGATGTGCATGGCATTGGCCCTGTGGCTCTTCCACTATTTGCCTGAGAGGAACAAATGTGTAACCAAGGTAAAGTAATTAAGATCTTGTTTCACTGAAGAGTTCAAGTATATGAAACGATAATGAGTGCAACCAATCACTTAGGTGCATTGGAGAAATGAAAAGCTTCTTTGGATATGATACAAAATACATTTTCTTTTTCAGCAAACAGTATTGCATAGAAAATTTACCTGTTGAAAATGGTTGAGTCTGTGAATAGATGTATCCTTTGTTGCTTGGTTGAAGATAATTTCCTGAGATTTCCTCCTTTTAGGTCCTGGAGAGGATGCAAAACCAGAGGAGCCGACAGCTCCAGTTATGGCAGCATTAGCTGCTGCCTGTTGGAGATAAGCTATGTTGTTGCCATGTTCACCATGAAAGAGAGCTTGTCTCTCTTCACTTCCTTCATAGTTTTTGCAATCCAAGCATTTGCAGTTCTCAGAACACAGAATATTTGCCTGAAAGCATTCACAATACTTCTTAAGGCAACCCGATTTCTTGCAGTGGCATCCTTTGTTGTGCTTCCCTAACATGAGAACCTCACCAACCTCCTCCTGCGATAAATGTAAAGAAGTTGAATGCAGTTACACAAAAGGCCAGATGGACAATTTAAACATTTTACCATGACTAAGAAGCTTAAAGAACTTTCCAGGAAACTTGATCGATTAAATTTAAATAGGTTTACATTTAACTAATAACAGAAGGAAATGGAAAAATAAAATCGAAGTATCTCCACAATAGAACATCCAGAAAGCTTTTTCGCCTGTGAAAATAATAAGGGAGAGTTAGAGCATAGCCTAAATAAACTTTCTTTTTCACTCTAGAGCGATATTCCAAATTAACCTCCCTTTATCAGTATGACAATTAAAATTGGTCTACATTTCTTCCTTGAACCACATACCCTGCTATCCCGTGCAGCATGAGGACTGCTAGCAATTTTAGGTCTAAATGCATTAGGATTTCGTTCCAGAGTTGCTTCCACAGCTTCGCGTCTGGCAGCTTCATTTTCAACGTTGTTAAAGCAATTTGCACAGTTGCATCCATCACAGTATGTGCCAGATGCAAAGCACTCACAATACCTGATCAAGACATATGTGTAAGTTGTGTACGTTTGCCGGCAAGATGGGTCCTAAACCAAATACCACATAACAATGTAATATCCACAAAAAGTATTGTTCACTAATGTTTGGTCTTTATACCATACAGAGATTTTATATGGCTCGAATAGCTACATGCTATCCAGATGCACACCCCCCCAAAAAACAGATTTGAGGATTTCTATTTCTCAACAGGGCCACAGGACAGAAAAACATAAACACAAGCATTATAGTTGACTACCTCCAGCTTGCTAATCCAACACCCAAGAATGTAAACACAAACATGCTCGAATTCATCGATAAATCATCTTAACACGAACGTTAAGACAGGCCAATGGTCAATCAGTGAGGATATCATTTGCCTAAGACAAGAAAAACTGACATACAGTTTCAAGCACCGCGAGTGTTTGCAGTTACACTGCTTTTTCTTCTGCGGGGTTCCATCTCTAGAATCCACAGCAGGCCTTGCCCTAGATTTCGGAGATTCTTGTTTCCTGTAAAAATGGGACAAAAGAGAAGATAGAAATGTCAAATGATTGGATGATCCAACACTCCAGAAATCTTAAAAACAAAAGTCTTGCCATTAATAGCATAATGATGAAGTATGCAATCCATTAGACGAAAGTCTCAAAAAGGCTTCAACTTTGAACAGAAACCTTAAACTACTCCACCATTGTAGTTGGTCATTGAACTCATGCATGCATCAAGTAAATCTGAGATAACAAAAGCTTAGTCAACACAGAATCTGCAAAAGAATTGAACCACCCAAGTAAGAAATCAACTCTTCCCGCTAATTGGATGAAAAGGAACACTAACAGGTTTTCAGCTCAGCGGTCATACTGACAATATTCAAAGAAATCATGCCGCATCTCCAGAATAGGCTATTCTACAGCCAAAGTTTCAGATCTTTCTCATCAAAACCAAAGCTTTTCCAAATTGAACTAACAGAAGAAGCAAGGGTGCACACTGAACTGATCGAGAGATTAAACGAGCATAGCCACTGAAAAGCAAAGGCTATAAGACAATAGAAGACTTACGGAAGCCGGACTGGGGCATGAAGGACCTGCGGTCCCGATGGCGGCATCGGCGCCACCACTGACATCGCCGGCCGCACCTGCCCGATAGCCG